GCAGTGGCAGCGGCAGAAGCCCGGCATCGGAGTGTTTATATGGAAAATATAAATCAAATAATGGCGCAGACATTAACAAACAACGCATGTGGCTGCGCAGACATCCAGATGATTATCGGGCTCACAAAGGTTTCGATGTGTATTTAATTGTAGACCCACGAGTGCTCGGTGGGGGGATCGAGCCGGAAGGTAAGAGCCTACAATTTTATATAAACAGAGAGTCCACTTGGATGGTTTTCCGCAGAACTTTTTAACTAGAGTGCAGCGTCTATTGAAGTAAACTGGATACAAATACGTCTTGTGCTTGATAACGAGAAAATGGAAGAGACCAGAACCAATTTTACTTTCCAAGCAGTATTAGTCTTTGCAAAGTGCCTAAAATGATATGACTAAGTAGATTACTTTTGTATACATCCTCTTCTCTATCTGGAATTATTATCCAGTAAAAAATATTCGTAAGAAACTCTACAAAGATCAATAAGTTTGCAATATAGTAACTTCCATTTCAAGAAAAAACAAGGGAGAACGCTATAGTCGAGTACCTCGACTATCAGATACCCGTTACTCAGCTAAATGGAGATATGCAAGCAGCAAAGCGAGATTAAAATGCGCCACCTACCGGCGGTATACAGATTTAAGCGTTATGGGCGTTAGAGTGGGCGTGGCAAAATTTTTTTTGGATCAATCGATAGGTATTGACGAGACCAATACATTTCAGTTAAAATTTTTTATCTAGCATGAAAATTGTGGGCGTCACAGGGTTTTGCGGTTTATGGGCGTTAGGGTGGGCGTGGCAAACTTTTTTTTGGGTCAATCGATAGGTATTGATAAGAACATTACATTTCAGTTAAAATTTTTATTCTAGCATCAAGACTGTAGGAGCCACAGTTTTGGGCGGATTGTGGGCGTTAGAGTGGGCGTGGCACTGTACTGAAACAAACTTGCGCTGCGTAAGAAGCTCAGGAATCTGCACACCAAATCTCAATAGCCTAGCTCCCATAGTTTCCGAGATCTCAGCGTTCATCCGGACAGACAGACGGACAGACGGTCAGACGGACAGACGGACAGACGGACATGGCTAGATCGACTCGGCTAGTGATCCTGATCAAGAATATATATACTTTATGGGGTCGGAAACGCTTCCTTCTGCCTGTTACATACTTTCCGACGAATCTAGTATACCCTTTTACTCTACGAGTAACGGGTATAACAACAGCAAATCTGCGCTGTCTTATTGCTTACATAATTTTTATTGCACACATTTTAATTCAAACTTTACATCGGTTTTAGGCGCAACTTTGAAATGCACCTGGGATGGCTATGAAAGTCTGGGATCAGTTGCGGCATGAAATACCCGATAATTGGCCAATTGCATTGGGACACCGCGACGGTGGGTTGTAATGCAGCGTAATGCTAATGCTTACAACGCCTGCCCACATGGGTCCGCTATAGCTTCAGCTATATCTATATACGATGCCTGGTCGATCGGCTGATCGGCGGACCGGGGCACAGCCCACTTATCGAGGTCGGCCCATAGCAGCACGTAGCCACTACCCATATAATGCGGCGGGCAGCCAGCCGAACATTACAGCGAAACCTCGAAACGATACCGGCCAAATATCAAGTATACGGGCTGCCCGCTTATCGGCTGTTGTTGCGGTAATTATAATGCGCCAGAGTCACGCCAGACACGCTGCATAAATATTTAAATTAAATAATAACAAATGCTAGAAATAAATAAGCCGGGCAACTGTAAAAACAATACGTAATGCCAACAAAGGCGCACTCGGGCAAATATTAATATTAAGCGGCGTCGAATTCCAATTGACTAATGTTGCTGTGGGGAATTTGGAAGCGAGTTGCTGCCGTGTCTGGGTTTTTGAGTGGCTGTGGCTGTGGCAGTGTTCCTTTGTTCTGGCCATCCCCATTTCCACGCAGATAGCTCCGGGCGCCACTCCCCTCGCCCCTTATTTTAATTTCTGTCGTGGCCGGGCTCGAGTTTCAAAAACCAATAATGCGGCTGCCATCAGCAACATCGGCAACATCAACAACGGCGACGACGACAGCAACATGGCGCACAACAAGCAATAAAAATGGCATAAAATTCAAAATGAAAGCTAAACGCTGCCCCGACCTCCTGCCGCACATGTGGCCCTCGTTCCCCCCGCCGATCTGCTGTGAGCTGCATAAAAATAAGTAATATCGTAAAAATTACAGGAAATAAAATCGCAACGTAAATACGTGTAAGTGCGAGAGTCGGCCAACTTTCCCAGTGGCTGAAATTGGCAGAGAAATTATGGCAAGCGAGGAGAAGGATGGGCCAGAAACGCCGGGCGAGCGGGAGGAAAATGTAACGGCCTTTCGGGGAAGTGGAAAACCCATTAAAGTTCAAGTTGGACATTACATGGCCATATTCCGGGCAAATGTTTTGGAAAATAAATAATTCCCAGTTGCCATAAATGGGTTTTCGGGGGTTGTTGGCACCACGAACCGCCCCGGCCGATAAAAAGAAATGAGATAACTTCTCCGAGCAACTCGAGCAGAATACGCAAGTTCACCCAGCCGGCAAAATGCCAGATATGAAAGCATTTTCTAATCTTTCTGCGAGCGTAATCCTGCAATTAGGCAACCTGTCTCAGAGCCATTAAACTCAATTACAATTATCTTGCACTCATTAACGAGGACTCTCTGCGGGGCGGTTCAGTTACCATGGTACTTTGTATCAAAATTCGGTATTTCATAAATCTTTAAAAGGGTACATACAGTCAAATTATGCCCAGAGCAACAACACTTCGGGCGATACTTTTATACTTTAAGAAAAAATGGATTACAAAATACTTTCAGGATGGTATCATAATATTGAAATTAGATAACATTGATTTAAGCTTCATTTTAAAACCGGAGTCAAATTATATTTATGCTATCTTCAATCGTTTAACGTTTGCTTACTAATCGAGTTTAGGCCTCGAGTGGATTCAGAAAGATAGATAGTAACTAATCATTTGATTATTTGCTCAATCAATGGAACACAAGAAATAATTACTTATACATTAACGATACAAAAAGTGTAAGGCTCATTTGTCCCGCAATACCGAAATCCTCTTTGTCCATTTAAATTTTTAACCATCAACAATGAAAGGTATAGCGCCAGTCTGCGAATTAACAAGCACTACAGCAGCAACAACAGCCACATAATTCAGCATGTTGTGCATGGATATTTCCTCTGGAACGACTACATCTGCAACATGGGCAATTGCAATTACCGAGTGTGTGTAGCACCATAATCATTTCAAACGGCAAATTATGACAGCGAGGAGGGGTCGCAGCTACAATTGCAACTGCAATTGCAACACAGGCGTACGGCAGGCAAATGAAATGAGCTTTTAATCAATTTCCGGTATTAAAGTCTAGCCAAACCAAGCAACAAACAACCAGCAACCATCCCAACATTCCCCAGCCATCCCACAGTTGTCTGCCCCATTGTTGATCCTGCTGGCCGTTATTGTTGTTGGATTTAATTAACAAACAATTTATATTCATAAACCTCAATCGGTCACATGCAAATGCACATGCGACTTTGGTGCGGAGAGCGCACCACAAAAATATCAAGTGGGGGAATCGTTTCGAAAAGTTGTGATATGGTGGGTCAGATACTCTACGGGGAGGTTATACAAGTGGCTGAAAATCACTTTTCAGTTCGGTGACTAGAACATTTTGAGTCTTCCTAAATGTGAATGGATAAATTTTAAGTCATTCATTAAATCTGGAAACAGTTTCTAAACTTTCAGCTGTTAAAGTAACTCTATAGACAAATATTGCCAGATTTTGACTTAGCAGAGATTTAGATAGATTATAAAAATCACATTATAACGAACGACCTGAGCTACCTTTTGGGCAGAGTGTTCGATTATATTTCGCAACGTGTACGCAATAAATATGGCAAATGCGTGGCGTGGCAAGAAAAAAACATGTGCATGCTCGCAATCATAAAAATATACTTATAAGCCCGCACACCCGTAGATACGAATGTGTATCTATGCTTCTTGGGCACTAGTGTAACTTGGCCTTTTGTGTAACAAAACGTGGCAGCGGAAAAGAGCAGTCGCCACAACAAAAGCGCCCAGGGAGCTGCAACAATGTGAGGGCTGATTGGGGCGCCCCGTTTTCGGATTTTACATTTCAGATTTGACGCTGCCACGTGTTGCCAGCACCAACACAAACACACTTGAAAACACACGCGTTTGAATTGCATGCGCCCTGCATTCTGGCCGCAATCGCACTTGCTGGCCAGGGGATGTGCAGGAGCACAGAGAGAAATAATACCAGGAAAATATTAGAACGCTCTAGGACACACAGTCAAAAGATACTTCTGTGTTTCCCCCAAAAAATGTATATGACCATGTCATAACTGCTATTTTCTTTCTATGTCGTCTGGATTAACCCACGTTCCGACACCCAATTAACCCCTAGCATGCACAGCGCATTTGGGAGTGGTATCTAGCAGCTTAGCAGTCATTAATTAAACCCGGCCAAATACAGAGCCAGACAAACGCATGAGAAATTATTATAATGAACACGCATGGGGAAATGGGCGCAAAAAGCTTTGCGGGGAGTCGCCCTCCCCTGCCCCCAACTAATTAGCATGCTGAAATGTGTTTGGCTGCAAACACCACTCGGAGGTCACAGCGAGGTCCAAGCCTCTTTTGGCGTGGAAAAACGAGGCGGGGCGGGGGTGGGCAAGAAAACACATTAGTTGCAGCAACAAGGGCAAGAAACATTAAGCCAAAAGGTCACGGAGGTGGAAAGAAACTATTTATGCCAAGAAAAGCTGAAGATTATGGTCTTTTACGGACGGAAACGAATCGCTAGAGAACCAGTAGATTTAATCTAAAAAGGGGATGTGTAGTCTTGCAAAACCTCAACTAACCTTAACCAGAAATAAAATTCAAAATACTGCCTGCATGTATTTGTAAACGTTGAAAATCGAATGCACAACTTACCACCCAGCTGCTATTTGTGTCAGTGGAAAATATAAATGGTGATTATGAACGTCCGGTAACGTAAAGTACCCACCGAGTGGAAAGCAGCCACATTGTATGGCTGCAAATTGCACGAGAACAAATATAAATATGGGTACTTGTACATCATGCTCTGCGGCAGATTCAGTCTAACCACAAACTCATTACGGCCCATTCTGCTCGGCCCCGCCCCTCCCTGCTCGCCACTCTTCCGCCTTAATGACAGACGAATATTTTGTATAATATAGACATTTTCTACGGCCCCGACTTGGCCAAGTTGAGGAACCGAAGAGGAGACAAAACCGAGCCAGCTGAAAAGCGACCTGGCAAAACCACAAAAACTTGCCTTTGGTTATTTTGTATCTGGCATTGTCATTGCGGCTGATGTTGCTGCTGCCGCTGCCGATGTTGCTGTTGCTGTTGCTGTTGCTGATGTTGCTGCTGTCACGGCTGTTGTGCTGGCCAAAACGTGCAATTAAATGCTGTATAGAAGCCGCCGCTGCCATAAACCCCCGTCCGTACACAGAGAACAACAAAGGCTCGTAATTAATTTGAAAAAATTCGAAGAAATGGTCATAAACCGAAGTTGTACAAGATCACTTTAAGTTGAAGCAAACTCAAGTAACTCGCAGGCACAACAAATAGCAGCAGATTTACCCAAGTCTATAAGTGTTTTTCGGTTTTAACTGGAGGTTTTCCTCACTTTTGATCAAATAAAAAAGAAGAAAACTCATCCTTTTCCAGAAAGAACTATAGGCACAACGATGTTGCACTGACATAGAATCGTTTTTTTCCTTCACAAAAATAAACTGGTCAACGCCGGAAGCATTACTTGATGCAAAATGGATGTTACCGAATCACCTTCATCGGATGAATGCTTCGAAAATTGGCATTTAGTACACTTTGAGATGATACAACTTTTGTTAAAGCAGAAACTGAGTAAAATTGAGACAAATACCTGTTTATTTAAGTTGTCCTCTACATTCTGCATGTTAAATCTGAACTCACTAACATAACACTCAATATAATTAAGTTTAATCTGAAATAATTCTTCTGACGCCAAAAACTATAAACGTATGGATAATAAATAAATAGTTAAATTAAAAATGTAGTACATCGACATATTTTACTAAGCCGCTTAATATTTGTTGAATTCCCATCTCGAAAATCGTGTTAATCCTTTATGTTGCTGTGCGTTTCTCTCTCTGTAGACGGTGAAGCCAACTTATTGGCAGTTGCTTGCCAAATGCAATGAATGAAAATTGCACAAAAAGAGAGGCAGAGGCCAGAACACAATTACAGCCAGCAGAGGCATTCACCAGCAAATTATTGATTGGCAACCGCAGAGATGCATTCCGCCGAGAGACAAGATACAAAGATGCAAAGATGCAGAATCGGTCGGGCACTCACTAATGATGATGACGCTGGCTACTGGCCACTGGCCACCGCTACTCACTCTCTTTTGGCCGCCATTGACATTGAAATCTGGCAATTTGCAATCATTGCAATTAGTTTTTATTTCTTGGCCGAGCCAAACGCCTCGCGAATCGTCGCGGGTTTTTCGTACAAATTACTGCTGAGGATTTCGAGTTCGAGGAATTTCCGCGGAAATCATCGGGTAATGACAAACGATGGCAGCTTGCATAAGTGGGCTGCGGATTTCCAACTGCTCCTTTCTCGGACCTCGAGAGTGCGAAGCGCAATCGCAAATAGCTAATTGCCAACCGATTATTTATAGCCGCGCATTTTTAAAGTTCAAATATGCGTTTGTCGGAAGTAATTTGCCCATTTAGCGGGTCTATAAATAGCGTTCCGCCACTCAAAAGCTTTGGGGTCCCCAACGAGTGGCAAGGTGCTAGGGCTATGCGGATGGTCTCCGCTCCCCAGTCCCCCTTACGTGATTACGACTGTGCAAGTGGGTCAAATCGTCATCGCCGGGAGAAGCCTTGGTCCAGATTGCCTACTGAGTGCTCTCGCTTCCGCTAATCTCGGGGCAAGCTGCGGCAAGCGAATATACATATTTATGATGGGGATATCGGACTTGAATGGGGCATGAGTAGCGGGCTATCTGCTTGCGGTTGAAGCCCAAGGCAGACCGCTGCACTCAAAAAAAACTGCAGATAAATCAAGAAAACATCTTGAAACATTTTACATGCTTAAGCATTTCTCTAAGAATGTATTACGCAACAAATCTTAAGTAAAGTTCCTTAGTTCCTCATTTCCGGGATGTTGAAAACGACCTAGTGCACTTACAGGACAAACTTGATTCTCCCGTGGTAAATGTATAAGTCTAATTTTCCTCTCTTTGAAAATTCCCTCAAATCGAAAAAGAGCGGTATACCTCTTTAAATTACTCTGGGTAAGAGCGAGACAGAAATATTCGGAATACTCGGGAGCAGAAACAGAGAGGCAAAACCAAAATAAGGAATATATCAAGTAATGCACCTCCTATATACATTTAATTAATACTGAATTTCTTCAAAAGAGTCGTCACACCCTGTTAATTTTTTTCTCTGTGCATCTATAAAATCTGCATAATGTGGTTAGCTACTAAAACTTCGGATGATACAGCATCAAAGACTTTATATGTTTTTAAGCCCTTTCTTGCAGTGTAAAAGCGAGAGTAAATCTTCGTCTACAATTATTTCCATGCTTCGCCTTTTCAATTTTTCCAGCCGAACTCATGCGAAAGCCAACAGCAGTGATAATGAACAGGTTTATGTTGATTGCTTGTCTTCCTTTTTCACCTTTTGCCGCTTTTTGAGGGGCTGGAGTGTTGTGCGTAGGCACGGTCCCGGCCAAGTTCCATTCCCAATCCCTGTCACATTAATCACGGCAACATTTGCCATGCAATTAAGCAAATGAAGCCTGCATTTAAGTGCTGACAATGATGATGATGATGGGGACTTGGACTTAAGCGCAAAAGCGAGCGCGAACTGGGAATGGAAATGGGACTGGGACTGGGACCGGGACTGGGAAACTCGGCGAAATCATTAGGCTAATGTGGTTAGTTGAACATCGATAAGTGAGTGTGCCCCATGGGCAGGCAGCCGCGATGTGACTCCGCTTAATGCGCATTTAATACCCCTTTGAGTCATTAGAAATTCAATCGAGTCGCTCAAAATAATTGACCCACCTCGGTCTCGATTCGCGACAGTCGTTTCTGGCTATTCATCAACCCGAATCACAATCGAAATGCAATTTGCTGATGTTTGTGATGGCAAATCGAAAAAAGCACATTCGCACGTGGAAAGGAATTGACGCATTCCGCCACTCAGTCATTCATCGTCGGCGTGGCCTTTTTCGACTGTTTGTCTTATGGCCTTATTGGCCAAGCGAAATCCCGCCAACAGCCGGTTAACGACGAGGGGCAAAATGTCAAAAGCATTCCGCCATAATTAAATTATAAAATAAATATTGCACCAAGCTGTTGCTTTCTTTGCGCAACAACAAAAGTGCAATTCGGATTTTGAGCGCAAATCGCTGAAATAAGAGTGTATGTGAGTGCCATGAAACATCGCGCATACGCCGCGTTGCATGGCCAAATGAATTGAATCAAAAGTCAACGTAAATCCGCTCTAACGCAAACACATAACTCAACTTCGAAGGTGAAATTCTCTAAGAATAGTTTATTTTGTAATCCTATTGATTTACTCTTAGTCTTACTTTTAGATTTAGACAAACGAGAAGACCTAGGACTTTTAATTAAATTCTTCTGACTTAAGAATATTTACATCTATTCAATTTTAAAATCAAATCTTCAAACCAAGCTGAGAAGATAATATATATTTTAAAGAATAATAAAAGTCTAAAGCTGGATAAACTTAAACATTTGAACACAGTTTCAAGGTTTTGTGACATATGCTCCCTAAAAAATAGGGTATTTTCGAAAGGTTTTTCCTACGTTTTCGGGCTGCCTTCACTGCGTGTAATTTCACTTTCCCGCCCCCTGAGTCCCGCATTTTCCACCGTGACCGTACCCCCAAACGCACCCAAAACTGCCTTTCTGTTTGGGTCGCCAATCATGTGTCGCAAACATGATTTATTTCGTCAATTTATGCCAAAAGTGTAAAACGATTTTCTACCGTGTGTCAAATGAAATATTATGACGTGCACTATCATTTACATGTGTTTTACAGCCCCCAGTGGGTGTGTGTGTGTGCGGGAGTGGGCGTGGCAGTGCGTTAGGAATGCGACAGTTGACTGAGGCTGTCTCGCTCCCCACTCGCCACCCGTCTCTGTCGCTCCTCTCGCATGTGTTGGCATTTGCAATTTAGCAAAAAGGGAAATTACATTTAAATTGAATTGTAAACCGAATAAATTGAGGGGTTTTGGTGCTGGAATGGGAGGAGTTGCTGCGCAGTTGAATTTGCCAGAAATTTACGATTACGATTGAACGCAAATGGAATTCCTCTCTTTCTGCGGGCTGCTGTCTGTATAATTTACCATATATTTGGAAAGTTATCAGGCGTTGCGCAAGCCTTCCTGAGTTCTAAGCCTTGGGCGTTTTCCGAAATGTGAAAATGGCTGACAAACTTCTAGTCAATTAGCCAGAGCATTCGCAATGAAAACAGTCATTTCCTTTTAACTTCCTTGCAAAAGGGATGTTACTTTCATAGTTTTCCAAAGAAACAACGATTTAAAAATAGGCCAATCGAATAATAACAGTCTTAAAGACAAAATCAACTTCTATGACGAAACACATCCGCATGTTGATTTAAGTCTGCTGCAGATTTTGTATTTATTGCGCCCACATTAATTCCAGATAACAATGTATTTCGGGATAATAAAATTAAAATTTTAATTTATTTAGCATATGGCGTATTCCACACAAAGCTGACGGAAAACCAACACAAAATTAAACCCGTATTTGTATTGCAACATCGGTAATTTGAGGGGAGCTCGGGGAAAATGGGGAATAAAACATTTCTATTTAATCTGCTTGCTATTGAGCTGTGGTGGCGCTGGAATGGGCCTTTTAGGGAACTGGAAATTGCAAATACCAAGCGGATTGCACAACCGCAAAATGCCGACTAATTAAATTAATAGGAAACAAATGCATAATGAGTGCAGGCGTCCCAGACCAA